AAATCACTAATCCTGAACATCTCGACGTCCTAAAGAACTAACTAAACCTAACCTAATTTCTTCACTGTAGTTTTCCCTCAACATTTTGGAAGAGCATGTTTTTGGCTTAATCTATTTTTTTTAATAAAGGGAGCAGGCATTGTTACGAAGTTGAGCGGGTTACATGTTATTACATAATGCTGTTTTTGTGATAAACTTAGTAACAAAATATGTCTACTAACCACTATTTTGATGGCCCCCTTATCAAATTTACTGGTGATTATATATAATAATTGGCAATCCATAATCACCGGATTAATCACAGAATCATCGAGTATTGTTATCTCATTTCGTTCAGACTAACAGGAAATATTGTTCCACGCATAACTCTAAAAGTAAAAGTAAGGCAGTTGAAGCAGGAGTTATTCACAATAAATTACTGACAGTTCACTCTTATACAAGACTGAGAAACCTAAATCAGTTAGTGACGCAACGTATACAAGGTGTTTTTGAAATAACCAGCAAGCTTCCAGGAGACGATACGACACTATAAAATAACAAAATTAAGTAAATATCTGGAGGTCCGAAAATCCACCGTTTTCGAGAAAAGCGTATTTGAAAGTACAGACAAGGGTGACCATTGCATAGTATTATTGTATTGACCAATGCTTGATTTTCTGGATGAACACTGCATGTACCAAACGCTATTCCAGAACGCTAATGATTTGCACGACCGTATATGATCGCTGCAAATGAAGTACGCCAAATGCGCGATTCAGAAACAATTTTTGTAATGTATTTACGCATGTGTGTGTGTTTGTGTTTACTGGTGTTGTAATTGATTTTTTTTAATAGGAGGATAGGCCTATTGGCGAACCACCCATAAAAAAGGTAATTCACCTTGACAATACCTTAATAGTGCTTTCGAAATTTAATAACATTATTATTACCTATCCAGAAGTTATTCATTTACCTATTTAAGTTTAAATAACGTTAATTTTTTTTGTTTTTTTGTTGTTATCACAATTTCTCTATACGTTGCCAATTCACGTCCAGGGCCGGTTCCAATTGCAACTCCTTCTGGTTTTCTTACAAAACACCCTGAAAAGGTTGCTACTTATTTCAGAAATACTCTGTGTCTAATCGTAATGAATTGGCCAAATTCAACTTCAGGCACAAGGAATGCTAACTGACTTAAATTAATGTCACAGGTGTCTATTTCTTTTTCTTCTTACTTTCATTTCGCAAATGCTGGATTGTATTATTTCATGGTTGTACTTACCTGTGAACAGGCTATTAATATTCCGTGAAGTGATATTCTCGAATGCAATATTATTATAATAACACCCAGTTGTAATACTTGCTACTCCTGCGTTTTATATTTTTATTTTTAATTTTCATAAACCGCATATGAGTAATGGATAGGTTCTGTTCAACAAAGTTAGGCCGGGGACTTTTCAATTGACCTGTTACATAACGTGTAAGGTGTGCAAAAAGTACGTAAATGCAGGTATGTATTTATACATATTTAGACAATTCTTCCTCCACGAGATTCCATCCCCTAGAATTTATAGAGGGCATTCCCCTATGTAGTGTACGGGCCTCATGGAACTAATGAGGGGGCATGCCGATATAAGGAGTAGCAATACTTTTTCCCTGCGGAGGCAACATGCAGCATTCCTGATGATACGCAAACGCGGCAAGGCGTTATATGCCCCTTCCTTACCCTAGGGGGCAACTTCATGGGATTCACAAGAGGTAGTGCACCCCCTCAAAATTCTAGTCGGGATTGAAACACGTCACACCAGAAAGCACGTGAAATAAGAAGACTCTTACAGTAAGACAAAAATCAAGCCAATAAGNTTTTAACTTTTATCAGCTAAATCTGCTGCCTTTGAAACAAGTAGATGATAATTACTTATAAATACATTCGCTATCTAAGCAATTATTAATTATACAATGAAGTTTTATATTCTACAAGTTCGTTATCATGTCACTCATCGGCAGGCCGAGCCTTTTTCCGAGGCGAGCGCAAAATAAATAATGATCCTGCCAAACGGTATCGTTGTGTATGAGACATGACAGCGCCGACTTACATCGGAGAACTTCTAATAAATTACAACTATGTACAGATATACAATTTGTTGAAACCGTTTTTACATAATCTGATCGGTGTGCCTGTCCCCGTCACAGAGACCTAAAAGGTCGATTAGAACGAATATAAAAAAAATAGTTCGCCGGCTCTGCACGTTCCTTTAGGAAAGGATAGTAATTAATTACCCGGTCGCCCTTTCTCTTGTAGGATACTGATTGGAAACGTTTCGGAAATGTCTACAATATATAATGCCTAATCAAAGAAACAAATGTGCTCTCGAATTAATGCTACCTTAAAGTTAAAAATTAATGTGCTAAATAATGCAATATCAGTTGGTATTGTAAAACATGAATTTTGGCGGGTATCTGGATAGTGGAGTGAAGTTGGCCCCCCCAAATTAGAAAATTATTGATTTTGCGATGCCAATAGTTTGTTAGTCGTTTGTTGGTATTTGTTAGTCAATTTTTATTGTTTGTTAGTTGATAGTTTATTAATAAATGACAATTGAAAATTCAGCGTGAAGTTGGCCCCCCCAAATTAGAAAATTTTCGATTTTGCAATGCCAATAGTTTGTTAGTCTTTTGTTGGTATTTGTTAGTCAATTTTTATTGTTTGTTGGTTGCTATTTTTTAATTTATAAGCAAAAAACCAATCGCTCATCGGACATCATATCGTATTGTCGCGCGCGCAACGATGATCGGGCCGTCGCGCATGCGCGATATTCAATTCAGCTTATTCAGCCGTTCATATGGTTCATATCAGTTCATATATCACCAATTGTCACCATTCCCTAACATCACAACTTTGGTCTTTAAAAATCTTTTAACAAGTTTTGGCATAAGATAACTTTTGATCACTTTAATAAAAATCATGATACATAAAGTGTTTTTATTAGTGAACAAAAAAAACATAAATGAGCGATTGGTTTTTTGCTTGTAAATTAAAAAATAGCAACCAACAAACAATAAAAATTGACTAACAAATACCAACAAAAGACTAACAAACTATTGGCATTGCAAAATCGAAAATTTTCTAATTTGGGGGGGCCAACTTCACGCTGAATTTTCAATTGTCATTTATTAATAAACTATCAACTAACAAACAATAAAAATTGACTAACAAATACCAACAAACGACTAACAAACTATTGGCATCGCAAAATCAATAATTTTCTAATTTGGGGGGGCCAACTTCACGCCAATTATCTGGATTGTCTGGATGTGGTTTTGTGTATAGTCCAGGGTTTAGGTTATGTCTCAGTAAGTGCATAACCGACTTTAATAAAATTTATACCACACCTTTCACTAACATATGAAATCTCCACGAATAGAACCAGATAAGACCCTACTATGAAACGGATGGATTGAGGGTAGATCTTTTTGGAATCCTTAGTTCAAATAATATTCAATTTCTTCATCTTGACGTTCATAGTAGCGTCTCTTCTTTGGTTTTGCATGCGTTTGCTGCCTTATTCTCCTGGTACTGTGCCCAACAGACCCAACGCATGCGCGTTATTGTTTTATTAAAAAAACTTGATCTGACCAATTATTTGCTTTACTTGACCAACCTTCAGTAGATATTATCCATCGAATATACCTTTCGTTATTTTTATTTAAAAGAAATGAGATGCTTAGATTTTCCATCAATCGTCGAAAAACTTAGATCATTAATAAAAAACTATCTATCGCTGACCAATAAAAGGGAATAATTGACCTTTTCTGGCCGTTTCCTGACTTTTCAGATGGTATAATTGGTTTTTGAAAATTCCATATATAAGGTACCAACATCGCGGATTGTTCATATTTATATGCAAAAAGTGAAAGGTTAACGCTATAGAAAGGATACACAAAATCGTTTACTACTTTATATTTTAACCTGAAATGCAGGTTTAAATTAAACGACTATTTATTCAAATTATTACTTTTAGTGTATTAGTGAATTAACTTTTAAACTAATTTTACCCACTACAGGTAACCTAAAAATAATGATTAGTTGGACGAATCTACGACCTATACTCTTAGGTTGGGTGTACACGTAGTGGTTGACCGGAGAGATTAACCTGTACAGGTAAACCGTAGAGGGTATGTCAGAGTTTGCAGGCAAAATTACACACGCGAAGAGACCTGCACAGGCGACCGTACAATAATGAAAAATCAGTTTTTTCGACCCATGCAGTTGTGTTAACCAGGGAATGTGTGCTGCTTATCGAATGTTTGTACAGTTTGTTGAGCTGATGCGTCTGTATCTTCACATTGTTTATAGAGATTTTTGCGGAATTATTGAAATCATTTAGCAGATATTACTGAACCGACCAAAGCGATCGCGTCGTATTCTTGCTTTGTCGACATCTCGAACTGAACTGAACTCTCCGGTTTGCCGTACCGTGTATGTTCCATTTACCTGTGCAGAAATACCCGTCAGGGTAATCTGCGCAGGCCTACCGTACAGGTAAACCGTTACGTGTGTGCCCGGCCTTAGGTACGTTTCTTTGCTGTTGCTACATACTGCTGTACTACTGTTTGTTTCAAGAAGTTAGGTATATGCCCCTTACCTTTATTGGGATACGCCGTAACATAATTCCAAATTCAATCATATTTGTCTGCGGAGCTCACTTCTCCACCGATCATCGAGCGAGAACTGGACAAAAGTGTACAGTACCATTTGCAAAACTATTTAAACTGCCTCGTTAAAATTTAAGAATATGCATTATTTAAAAGCATATTTAGCCAAAAATAATATCAAGTGAATTAACTTAACGCTCTACATACCTATAAAATTTTTGCTTTGTTTTCTATATACATTTTTGTTTTAAGAAATTGCTAAACCTTTTCGTCTAGTACTGTACAATTCTAGCCGATCTCCTAAGACCGCCCATCGAGAGCTCTGCTCGTTCAAGCTTGTTCCAACTATTTCTGTCCTGCTTACGCCTAGTGTGTATTCTTTCTATCTTCGCGCAGATTTCTTCAAAGTCACAATTCTAACAAATTGAAATGGACTGTACCTTATTGTACCTTAGTAGTAGAGTACTGACGCGTAAAATCAGGAGATTGGATTTGATTTCCGGCAACGGAGTGACAGAAACAACAATTTTTCCTCATTAGTTTGAGGTTATTTGTAGTTGGTAAAATTAGTTCGAAAATTAATTCACCTTTATAAAAATTCGAAGTATCTCATTAATACTTTAGGTTTAGAACAAAAGTTAAAATTTGAACCAAAACTAACAGCCACAATGTCATACGGGTACAGCTGGCGTAGTGTTAACCTGTTTTTTGCAATTTAAATGTCCATACGTTTACATACATGTAAGTGCATTGCTACCTATCATTCCACATTTTAGTACGTAAAAATTTTATATGGTATACATTTCCGCACGTTTCCACTTAACTAAATCGTTTTGTACTTTTTTCTAGATATCTATCCTCACTTCATGGTGTCACTAGAATCACTTTATTCATCACGCACTATTACAGTAACTATGTTCGTTAGGTAAATCGTCATTACGGTGCTTCATTGTCGCGATTAAAAGAAGTATCACATGACTAAGAGATCTTAGATAAAAAACCACTACGGGGGACTGTTTGGCGATCCCCGTTCGTCTCTTAAACTGTTCTCGGGCGATGAACGCGGAAGGGGAGCGTACGGGGAAAACCTGTGTTGAGCTAACGGTCGGGCTAAAGGTGACAAAGGTGACGTTAATTGTGAACTACCAGCAGTTGCCATGGCCAACTGATGTTGGTGTTGGGCAGCGAGTAATGAAGGCCCTAAACATGCCCACTGACTCCAGAGGACCCCGGGTGAAACAGCGGTAGTTTGCGATGCCCCAGCACCGTACAGGCCTCCCATTAAAGAACCATAAGGACCCGCGGCTGCTGCTGCAGCTCGAAGGAAAATTTGTGAACGCGCTGCCATTATGGCTTTCTCTTCGAGAGAGAGATTGTTATTGTGAGGATCCAAGTCGACGAATGGTCGCAACGGTGACGAAAGATAATTCTGCCCGTTTAACATCGATTCCATAGTTTCTCTGTAATCAAAATTTTGCAGAGTTGTAAAACCACTGCAAGTTCGGATATCTCAGTATTTATAACATTATTATGGATGAACAAATAAATTTACAGTTACAAAAACGTGAACGCTATTTATATAACTTCAAGTTAGATATTTATGCCAAATACAGCTATTTCTATTCCCACTTCTAAATATCACGGTACAATGTTTGTAAAAGTCAGAAAAAACCGTGATGCTGACAGAAAAACCTGCTAGAATAAAGACGCAGTTGGATGACCAGATACTTGTCGAAATAAATTCAATATGTACAGATGTATGTATAACAAAGAAAAAGATAATAATATCTATCAGATTTATTTGACAGGAGTCCTGTACATGTTAGGAATGTACGGCGGAAATTAGACTAGGATTATAGACGGTTAGTAGCAGCATTAGGATTTTTGCTTTTAAAAATTTGTTATGTAATGTCAAAAAGGTCTCCACCCCTATTCTGAATGGAACATTTTTAAAATGGAAAAAAAAGAACAAAAAGTGTACTACTTGACGTCTTCTCATTTATTCCTTAAAAGGTGATACTGGCAGGAAATTTTATCAGTGCGGAATTTTTCTGAAGGTTATTTCAAATGCTAAAAAATTCAGATAATCCATATCCGCAATTTCTTCGTTTAATGACGCTGTTCCATATCACCCATGAGATGAAAGGAATATTCTTTTGTTAGTGGATTCTCCTAAAGTCCTATGAAAACAGGTTCATTACACAAAAATATGTATAACATGCATTTTGCAGAAAAAAAAACATACAATTTCTTTTCCTAAATCTTTTGACGTCCGACTAAAGAGTGTTTTCGAGAAAATACTGCACAGCACCAGTTTTTTTACTGTGATGGGGTTAACCTCACTTTACTCTAAGGTTCGGCTGCAAGAAAACTGAGAGTTAAGTGAAATGCCGTATTATTTATCATATGTAAAATTTTATGGGGAACATTTTTGCACTGACGAATTTTTTCCGCCAAATCAACCGTTTACAAAAGAAATTGGAAAAGTACCGATAAGTACGTTTTAGGGGCAATTTTTCGCAATTTTAATCCAAAATAGGGGTGGGAACATTTTTGGCATATGCACTAGCTGTGCTTTTAAGAGGTTATAATAGCCAAATTTTCAAAAGCAAGTATAGCAACGCTTCATCTCTTCATTGGACTAGAGAAGTACCAAATATATCGGGGATTCACAACAACGGAGAATTATCGATTGTAGATGCACTGTATACTAGCTTCCATTAATGAAAGCTAAATTGTTTACATGCGGTAGTGACATAATGAGCGATTTCCATGACGCGTAATACTTTTGTACTTATTAACTATTCTACTTATTTAGAAAAAAAATAGTACTAACCTTTCAAATTCCGTTAACCTTGAAGAATCCCTAAATCCTTTGGCAAATGGATTACTGTCGATTTTTAATTTGGTAATCTGTAATAAACAAAATCTAACATTAATTCGTACAGGTATACAGCAGTAACTTGATAAGGTATTTATAAATACAAAATAAAGTGTTAAAAACCCATCGCATTCGCTGTATGAAGTCGGAAAAAGAGCAAAATTCTAGGAAAAAAGTTATCAATACAATTTTTCGATTAAATGCATTCGAGTTATTTAGGTCGAATACTTAAACAAAATAGTAAATCAGCTTCCCTTATCATTATTTCTGCGCGCTGCTTGGCTATTTTGTTAAAATTTATGATAACTTCATTTCTTACAGTTTAACACTCTTTCCGATGATATATTGCTAACGTCCTGTACAATTGGAGAATTTAAAACGATATTTTCCATTCAAAGGTGTTTATTTAATGAAAAAAAAAAATGAGAGACGTTTCGGTCACAAAGCTTTACGACCCTTATCAATCTATTAATTTAATCTTAAAATCTGAAATAATAAGGAATACGTAAAAAGCCAGAAACGGTATTATTTTTAATTTGAAATGTCTACACATAATGAGAAATTGTATAATTGACATTGAATTTGAGTAGCCTCCAACATGATTGGTTCAATTAAATTTTTATTTACATGAAAAAATTGTAACTGCGATTATTATATTTGAGTATAATAGTCTGCAACATAGTTGGTTCGAATAAAATTCTCGATACTCGAACTTAATTTATCATATAGTTACATATGTAGACATTACAAATTAAACACAGTACCGTTTCTTGTTCTTCACGTGTTTCTTCTTTCGGATTTTATGGCTAAATTAATTAGACTGATAGGGGTCACGAAACTATATGACCGAATCGTTTCTCCGTTTTTTTTTTCACTAAATGAACACCTTTGAATGGAAAATATCGTTATAAATTTTCTAGGTACAATATTCCACTGACCTTCGGACTAATATCCTATAACCTGCATAATGTTCTAATTTGAAAAATACAAAATAAATACCGTCCAAAGTTCCAAAACAATGTTTTAAAATGTAAATAAACCACGCACATGTGTTGAGTTTAAATGCAGTGAAACTTTGTTAGGTTATAAAAGGATTTGGACTCTCGTGTTCGGTATTCGGAATGAGAAAATAAAACCAGATAACGAAATAACGATAACAACAATAACAATTTATTTAAACAACTCGAGGGACGAAAGAATTGCAACGATTTGGATCGAACTGCCTAAATTATGAAAAAGTCTTCAGAAAAAAATATGAAGGAGGAGCTAATAGTTGATGGATGAATGGAAAGATGAAAGGGTACCAACAGGGTAGTAATAAGATTGGAAAGTTCCGAAGATAAGAAATCCAAATTACCGAAAAAATCCCATCGTAAAATCATAATTAGAAAATTAACTACACAAAGCTGAAATGTTATGAAAAGTAATAAAAGTTATGGACAGCGACAGAATTGAATACAAAAGAATTTGAATAGACTGGTCGAAATATTTACACAAGTACAGACAGGAGCCCAACAAGGGGAGGTCCACGGGTGCCTGAGCATCCGCTCGATTGGATTGGGCACCCAGTCAATTCCAGTCGATTCAGATAATAACTCTACTTGAAAGTTCGGTTTAAATAGTTCAAGCTCGTAAATGAGCAGCCAAACTCGATCTTTGCAGCTTATACACCCGCAGTATATAAATATTTATAGCATTATGATGGGAGCACCCAGTCAAACTGTAACATTGTTGCGCCCCTGAGTACAAAGAAACAAAGAAATATAATACAAAAGAAATTGGACATCAAAGAATTTAGATGCACAATTTGAAATAGATATTTACAATACAGTGTAAACTCTTTATAACGTCGATGTAACGACAAACTCTTTAAAACGTCGAAATTGCTTGACTTTGGTTGGTTTACCTTGTTTTCTATACAATGACACACTCTATATAGCATCACGCTCACTCTACTTAACGACAACGATATAATAAAGATGATCCAGTAGTATCTCAAGATACGAGTAAAATACATCAGAAAATACAATTATAATATCAGAGCAGCAAAAAACCTCAGACGAAGATAACAGACTAAAAATGTTCAGTCCGTTGTTAAGTGTCGTTACGTAAGAGTTTACACTGTAATATAACTTTATATTATTTTATAAAACTACAATAGGCTTATATATGTACAAAGGTTTATATATAATATGTATGTATAAATATTTGCATTAATATTTACAATTTGTCGAGCCCGGGATATTTGCATTTGTTATTGTTTTAAATATCGTCGGTGCTAAAAAGTTGTAGGTGTATGGTGTTATTCGCCACAAAGTACTCTTACAGGACCTCAAAATTTGTTCATTATGTACGTCTAAATACCAAGAATTCAAAAACAGTTTGGCGTCATTCAAGAATATGGACAGTTAGGTACTTATTAATAGCAGGTGGGTCATCCAGTTTTATCCATATCATTAATAATATTCGTGTTGGATAGTTAACAACGGGCAGCAATAGCAGCAGTAGGTTCGAGCCCGCCGCCCCCGGTAATTTCTGACAACATGTGGACGGTTGTTAGCACTACCATGAGTAAGAAAGAGTCAGTAAAACAAACAGGACAGATCTCCTGGGGTGGGCCAATTATCTGTTCATGGGGAGTGACAGCATTCGATGAACTATGCTTGGAATTCGGAACCCCGCCGACTTCGATATCCATCCGCGACTGTGATGCATGAGACAGCTCTGGCTCACTAGATGACGTGATACGGCTACAAAGTTTATGAACGGCAATTTGTTGTAATGTTTCGTTCACTTTTTTTTATTGTTTTGTTATCTTGTATTTCACCTTGCTTTTTAAACGCAACAATGCAGTGATCTCGTTTGATACTCGGACAGAATGGTGACAATACTTACGATTAGCGATAATCATAGGAAATAAGGCATTGTTAATAAAACAGTAGAATTATAGACAAAATAAGAATAAGAATCATCATCATTATAAGGTCGTCAGTCCTAAGACTGGTTGGACACGCACCTCCACTCTTTCCTATCCTGCGCTAATCTTCTCATTTCCCTAAAGCTAGAACAACCTATATCTTTAACTATTTATGAACAGTAATCTAATCTAAGTCTACCCATACCCCTCCTAACTTTCGTTTCTGCCTCTAATATGTCCATGACTAGGCCTTCATGCCTTAGAAGGTGTCCTACTAGCCTAACGCGCCTATTTCTTATTGAGTTCCATAGAGTCCTCTATTCTCTTACATATTCTAATGCATCTTCATTTTTAACCTTCTCTATCCACGGTATCCTCATCATTCGCCTGTAACACCACATTTCGAATGCTTCTAACCTTTTCTTTTCCGCCGCGCCCACTGTCCATGTTTCACATCCGCACAGCGCCTTGCTTCAAACATACACCTTTAACAACGTTTTTCGAATTCATAAACGTGGGACATATGACCGAAGTAAAAGTATGAAAAATAGTAGATATATACGTATTTTGTTAATTTTCAGAGTAATTAGGGAGAGGTGTAGTCACAACATATTCAATGATGCTTAGAGAATACTCTCAAATCTTCCTTCTAAATGTCCGTTGGTCGATAAGACTTGATAATATCTGCTTTACCGTTTATTCAAATTTGTCACATGATGAACATGTTGCACTAATTGTAAGACCAGACGAAACTTTAGAACTAAGGAATTACATGCCCTTATTTTCCTGTACGTTCTACATCCTACATCAAAAAGGTTCTAGATTCGCATTAATTGGAAAATATCTACCTATTGTTTTCCAATTTTTCATTACTTTCCGTTTTATTTAAATATCTATAGTTTTTGGGGTATCAGATTTTTTGCGGATCATGACTGTAGCATCCTTGAAGCCTGAAGGGCATTGTAGTACTATAACAAAAAGTATTTTTGAAATTGGTCTCTACAATTACATGTATTACTTGGTATGGTCAAATTAGAAGAGGAATAAAAAACTGAACATTAAGGGAAAAAACAAAAGCATGGAGGAAGATGAAGCTGAAGAAATAGGAGCATTGTTGTGTAACAGTAAAAAACAAGATATATAGGTAAAATTAATGCAAAGATATTTAAAAGAATATACGAAAACCTCATGTCAAAACAATAGGTATGGGTAAGATTATCATTTTTGTTTTGTAATTGGCTGCAACTTATCGTTAGAACGATAAGCTATTGTAACTACTTCGACTGTACATCGAAAAGAGTAATAAAATACAAGACAGGCACGTTATACCTACATTTGAATCGGTAAAGTAGGATAGCCATCATCATTTATTCATCTATCAGCACTAGTGCGAGCGGGTGGGCCGCGACTGGTGTGTTTTGGCTCCGGGCCAAGCGACGAGTCGCGATCCTGTTAATTGAGAGGTAGGTTATTTGATGAACATTGCTGTCCTTCCATTTCTCTTCTTTACACTTTTTTGGCAAACCACGACGCGACCACGTCTGTCGTTTATATACGTACGAAATATATTATTACCATCACGTACCCATGCCTAATGCCCGCATCCAGTCGTACATAATACACATGTACAAGCACACATACCTGTACGTGCAATAAATAATCCGCACGTTTGCATGAAGATAGGTATGAGAAATGGCTTGAGCACCTGCTTGCCACTGGCACCCTTCGTTATTTTTCTTCCCGCGTGAATTGTTGTGATAGCCGATGCCAAAACATTCTTTGAATGCGACCGCCCGAGAACATCTATCTATAACAAGAGCGACGGAGGAAATAAATTTGGAACGAGCGCTGCGGCTGAAGCAGCAATCGCGTGAAAATTTACAGCCAGACGCTTTTTATAATAGAAAAGTGTCGCGTACATAAACTCTCACTTTAACTTCTAACAAGTGTCGTCGTTATTCATTCGTATTATTTAGTAAAGCATTTTTTATTTGAGTTTTCTTGCTAAACGGTTTATTAACTCAAAATTTCGACAATTGCGTCGGTCACACACTATTTATTAGTATCATAAGGGTTGTCGGTAAATGTCTAGATGATGGCCCCGAAGGGGGTGGG